ATATGATTCAACCTAAGATTAACCTTAACCCTAATCGTTGAATCGTACGAAGATACGATTCGATCTTGGGATACGGTTTAACTCTAACCTTAATCATGATACTCGTACGATTCATTCATTCGTATCGTACGAGTGATTCAACTCAATCCACGAGTGATTTTCACAGTGTTTGATGCGTTGTTGCCGCATTTGGGGTTGGCATTGAATCAACTTTGCTTTTCATCTGATGTTGCATTTCATCAGTCTGTAATGAATCTAACATGCTCTTCTTTTCTGTTCAGTGTGACCATGGGAATTCTTCAAAGAATGCATTGTTTCCAACTGGAGACACCTTACTCCCTGCATGGAAGTATCCAGGAGCAAGATCCTGAAGTTCATGTGGCTTGTCCATCGCCTTGTGGGTTGCTGGCGGCTTCTTCATGAAGACTGTCAAGATCTGGTTGTGCCCAATGGTAATGCATTGGTAGTTGTACAAGCTGATCGTCAAGTGAATGATGATCTTCCTCTCCCCAAAATCCTCCAACCTAAGCCTATCCTTCATCCTTGGTAACTGTCCTTGGATCATCCTCATCCCCCACTCAGACATCTGCCTAAGTGATGTGGTGTCCTTATTTACTAGGAGCATATTTCCATCCTCTGGATCATTCTGAGAGCTTTGAATCAGGTAGTAGTGTCTGCCCAACAAGCCAAAAGCTGAATCAACAACACACTTCTTTGCTCCTCCAGCAAAAGTGCTGTCCACTTGGGCAAGCTTGACATAGACTCCATAGTCACTGATGGAGCTGCCATGCCACTTGCCAGGGCCATTGAAGACTCCAATGTAAATCCTACCATCAGGTGCAAAGATAAACACCCCATTCACGTAAGTGTTTGTTGCCTTCCATCCATTGAAGAAGACTCCTTGTTTGAGCCAGTCCTCTGAGGTCTGGATCTCTGTCYTGAGCCCATCTGCTGCTGCCCAGACGCGTTGTTCTCCAAGTCTTGGATATTTTGCTCCAATTGCCCTAACATACTCATTGATTTCTTGCTCACTTGGCAGACTGACCATGGCAAGCGGATGGTTGTGGAGCACTGATAAGAGGATCCTCATGGAGAATTTGAGCCATTTGTACATCACAGTCGATGTAAGACCAAATGCCATAGCTATTCCCCTTGCAACAGATCCTCTAGTCCTGTACCAGAAGAGCAATAGTCCAAGACAAAAAGTTGCATCGGCCTCTCTTGGCTTTCCCTTCTTCTTTCCATTGCCAGTGGGTGGAGGAAGAAGAACAATCTCATTGCTCTTGTTGACTGAGTATCTGTTGAAAGCTGGAGCAAACAGCTCAAGGAGATCCCTGAAGACCTTGTGGTCCACACCACAACAGTTGAGGAGTGCTTGGTCACACCCTGAGTGAAAGAGGAAGACAAAGGGGGAGTCACCAGCGTACCTACGAATTGCAAGCCGGGGGGTTCTCCTGTCCCTCCTGCGTCTCTCCTCTGGAGTCTTTTGTTGCTCTTCCCATTCCTCTACCAAGTGACCTCTATGCTTGATGGCCCAGTATATGCAAAGGGTCTCAATTACACCCATTGCATCTCTTTTGTTTGCTGGGATGCAACTCTTGTCTTTTGTTTAGGGAACAGCTCAAATTTGTGAGGAGCGACGACGAGGTTGTGATTTTTACACTAGTAGCTAGTACCCGTAGTAATTATCAAAAATTTCGGTATTGAAAAGTTCATGTTTTAATTAGTACCAGCGGGCACGTATTTCCAGTCTTAGTCATTTCTGTTGAGATTCCGGATTCCTTAAAAGTAGAAGAGGCCAAAAATTCTGCCGTTAGGACCTTGTTTTTAATGATTCCCAAAAAGTCTAAAAGGTCTACTTTAGACTTTTAGACCATCTAGATTAATGGGAATCGCCCAATATTTCGCTTGGCAGATTCCTGTTACTGCGGGAGTACAATATGTGATATATCTGTGGAGGAGCTCGCGCAGCGCGTGTAACCAAATTGTAACCAGAATTTTGTACCATGGCGTGTCCTTGTTATTATCACGGGAAATTTTTTGTACCATGCGCTTGAGAGCTTTAGTAAATTCTGGTTACAATTTGGTTACACCAGTGACATAGCTCGAGATCGAAGTGATGTTACTGCAAGTATCTTCAACACCAAGCTCAAGAGCTTTAGCTCGAGAGCTTGGTGTTGAAGATACTTGTTGCGCTGAAGCAGAGCTCTTCCACAGATATTTATGTAACCATTGAAGCGGCTCAACATTTTCATGTAACCACGAGCGCTTGGTTACTGCTTTACGGAGGAGGCTTGATGATACGGAGGAGGAGGCTTGGTGATGATACGGAGGATGCTGATATAGAGGACGCTCCGCTGATACAATACGGAGGAGCCAGCGCTGATACGATACGGAGGAGCCAGCGCTGATACAATACGGAGGACGCTGATACGATACGGAGGAGCCGCTGATACGATACTACGGAGGAGCCGCTGATACGATACGGAGGACACTGATACGAGTTGCTGATATGGAGAGCTGCTGATACGATACGGCGTTCTGCTCTGCTGCTGGTGTTTTGCTTGATTTTTTGCTTGTTTCCCCCTGCAAATCAATATTTCTACGGTGTTTTCTACACAAGTTTGTACTGGAATAGCAATCGAGATGAGTTTTTTTCACTGAAACTGCTTACATTTTTTAGTACTCCTCGTACAAAATACAGTACTGCGTACTGATACTACGTATTTACAGTAGTGAAGACAGTTTTTAGTTTGTACCTGTCGAGGTGCATGGTGCGCCTGTGCGCCTGGTTACAAGAAGCACGCACAAGGGAACCAGTGCGCCTGTTTTTGTAACCAGACCCGGTTTTTTTGTAACCACACTACTAGTGTTATCGTGGTGAAAACATGGGCTCTCCTTAAGGAAGGGTTTGGTTACAATTYTTKGTTACAAAAACTCAATTCGCGCGCTTGTACCATGTTGAGGTGCGTGTATTTAAGCAAAAAATAACTGGTGTTTGTTAGTGTTAGTTTGTTGTATCGGCGCAGTAACCAAGCGCGCGTGGTTACATGGAAATGTTGAGCTGCTCAACGGTTACTCCCAAAACAGATCGGTTTATTCATTCTTCGAACGCAATGATAAACAATAAGCCAAGCAACGAGAAGACTAACTATGGGGTTGCGAAGGGCTCAACTCATCGCAGGAGTCGATATCCTTACACTCAAATGGTCCTGGCGGTCAGCTTCACGGCACTTCTGACAAGGCAATTTACAATACTCTTTGCTCTTCGCTCATGCGATAATGCTAGCGTCTCAACCAACGATGCGGCGGCGCCTTCCACCCCCATCGAAAAATCCTTGTCCTCATTTTTTGAGGTCGACCGAACCTATAGCAAACCTAGATCCGCTTCCGCGCATGCATACGCCTCTACTACTGTACGTAGCAACCAATCCACCCATCGCGACGATCAAGCAACGACGAAAAGCAACAAAAAACAATCCAAAACAAACAGCGACGACGACAACGAATCCGTCCCGTTTCGAAGATGGAAACCATTCAATTTAGGGACTAATCCCTTTCCTTGCTATCCGCCCGGTATCTATGAGGGAGACGGACTTCAAAGCGTCCGTCCCTGTCACGAGGGAATCCTATTTCAGCGTCCAACTAAGGTTGGATCTACCACCATGACGAATGTTGTCATGAGGCTGGCCCACAACCGCGGATCCGAGATGTTTGGTTATCATTTGCGGTTACTCAACACCACAGCAGCCTCGCAGGACGAATTCGAAAGCCAAAAGAAGAAGCTACAATCGAACTGGAAATCTCCCCCGCGCTGCGAATACCGGTCAAACCATGGGACCGCGGTCCAACTGGAGTATTCCCAGCGAAAACCCGGTCGGTCCTTCCTCTTTGGAATGGTACGAGATCCAACCAAACGGATCATCTCCGAGTTTTTCCACTTTGGGGTGAGCGTTTATCAGAAGGAACCAACGGACGTGAATTTCCAAAATTACGTGCTCCGGAAGCAAGGGGGCAACCCGTTGATACGGGACATGACCTTCGACAAGGATCTGCCCATTACAATAACCAAGGAATGGCAACAGTACCTAGATCAATGGAATAAATCAAGAGCGGGAGTGGCCCTCGGTGCCTCTGAAGCAGACCCTGTTAGTAGTCCCAACAGTAGCATAAACTATCAAACGGTGGTTGCTGACATTTTGAGGAACTACGATTTCATTGCCGTCACAGAACGAATGGACGAATCGCTGGTCGCCCTCAAGCTGCTGCTGGGTTTGGACCTTCGCGACGTTTTGTACGTCAAGCCGTCACGGTCGGCCGGGAGCTTTTCCAACGGATTCAAAGATCGTCCATGTGTATATCTGGTGCCCTCATTTCTGACCCCGGGCATGCACGACTTCTTTCACAAACCAAATTCAAATGCCCGCTGGACCGAGTACTCGAAGGGAGACCGCCTCTTGCATGAGGCCGCGAGCCGTTCCCTCGATGCGACCATCGAACATGTTTTTGGCAGTGAATTCTTTCGGAAGGAGCTTGAGGACTTTCATAAAGCTCAGGCCTACGTTGAGGGAATCTGCGCGGATCGAATCGTGGATATTTGTGATCAGAGCGGCCACGACGTAGCCCGTGATCCGAACAGGACCACCACTTGCTATATTTGGTCAGAAGGCTGCGATCATGAGTGTTTCGACAACGAAATCCCTAATCCTCTGCCAGACTCTGTATTCGGGCGGTAGAAACGAAGGCAACTTCACAATGGTACGAAAGTCACCAAAATAAACCAACATTTACCAACGACGACTACTCAGAACGAAAAACCATCGGCTTTTTCGGAGGGGAAAACTTAAAATGGAAATGATTGATTCCTAGTAGACCGCACGAAATGATAATTGCAAGCCGAAAGGAAACTTATAAAGAAATGTTTGTCACCAATGAAATATCGTTGGAGGATTTGTGATTGTGTTCCCTCAAACCGGTGGTAGCATTTCACTTGGAGGGAGGCTTTGTAAAAAAATAGGCTTGTCGGTGAAAACTATGGCAAGCTTCATGTCAGCATAAAGTTAAATAATAATTTAAACATAGTTACAGTATCTGGTAGTACTTCTACTTCAAATTCGCTTTGAATCTCTGCCTTGTAATAAGTGCGTGCCGTAAGAGAACAAGCGTCCTACCAGAACGACATCCATTTGCCTGAATTTCGCTGCTGTGATATATACCATATATACCAATCATAGTATGATATGACTAAATCTTATCCTGCATCCTGCGAGCCGGGCGACACAATTTTTTGTCGACTCCCATGCGTTGCACCATTTTCGAGTTTTACCACGAATGAGATCACGTAAGAATTTCGAGTACGATGAAAACGAATCGAGTAAAACAATCACCATAACCACCAGCAATCAATCCAAATCATAACAAAGTCGGAAGTGATAACAGAGCTACCTTACAATCCATTCAGAAACGCCCCAAACGAAAGAAAACAGAAACAAACAATAACAAACGCATTACAATATAGCAACCAGTCGCAACACGATATCAATAAATTTCGCTGTTGCTGTCTGTCATAGCATTGCGGTTGTTTTTTTCGAAAATGCTGATGTTAAAAGTTGCTTCAGTGAGAGCATCACGCATGCCTATTATGTCGATATTCCATATTATATTTGAACTTCTATTTCTATTTGCTCTTCTAAGTGATTGCTGGGCAAAGAATCACGAAAGCAACTGCGATGCAATCTCGGATGGCAGCAATCCCAATAATAAATCTTGTGTCATTGATCGCTCGGGTTTTGGTCCCATTAAAGTCATCGTTCATGGCACCAAGAACGATCCTTTTTGGCAACAAGTGAAAGCAGGAATGGAACAAACCGCAAGGGACATGAAAGTTGATTTAGATTTACTTCTGTATGACGACGAAGATCCCACGCTCGATGCCTCGACGTTAGCAAATGCCATGGTGAACGACATTCGAAAGTACGACTACCTGTACAATGGTGCCGAACCAGACAATGATCGCCGCCAACGACGCCGTCGGAATAGCTTTGCAGATTTTACCAATAGGGGAGATGGGAAAAACCAAAATGAAAACGAAAACGTGGAGCCACGTTGCGGTTTTGGCGGTTGTAAATCAAGAATAGAAGGCGGCCAAATAAGTACAAATGATGCTCTCTCTCCCCGTCCGGCAGCAATGATTGTGAGCCTTCCAGGGAACTCAAAAGTAGAAGATGCTCTCCGAAGCATACAGAAGGATAGCAACAACGACATGCCAATATTTGGAATCAACGCCCTCGCAAGCAACAGAGAAAACAGCAGTATTGAAAAAGAGGGATCATCCTCTTTCTTTCTGGGGACAGTATCGATGAACGAGACCCAAGCCGGAGTCATGGCTGGAAATCATATCCGAGAGCTTTTGCTTTCAAGAGAGGATAAAATCGACGGCGCCGTTACCGGATTGTACGTCAATCATCGATCTGACGTCCATGCCCTGAAGGAAAGATTCGACGCACTTTCCTCAACCTCTAGTGACATTGTTCAAACGTGGGAAGTGGCATATTTGGAAAAAAATACCACCGAAGAAGATTTCATGGCTTTTTTTGAGGGATGCAGACACACCGTCATACAACTTGCGGGAGGGAGCGGTATTGTCGAGTCAATCCTTGAGGCGTTGGTGGCAAATGGTTGCAATATTGAAGACAATCATATTGTTGGTACTTTTGACACCTCATCTCCCTTTATTTACGATGCCATCACCGAGGGCACAATTGACTTCGCCATCGCTCAGCAACCCTATTTGCAGGGAAGTCATGCTGTGCTCATGGCAGCTTTGTATGCCACAACGGGACAGAAATTGGTTGGCGGAGCAGAAGCTGCGAACATTGAAACTGGTCCAATTTTGGTAACCGAAGAGAGCGACGACTTTCCTGGAAAGCGACACCAAATTTGTGAATCCGAGGGATATCCCGTCTGTTGGCCTGGGACCGGTAGCAGTGAAAAATCAGAGTGTCCATGTACAGATCGATCCAATATTTCCATTGCGGTCGTCACTCACGACGAATCATCAGATTTTTGGAACACAGTGTTCTCTGGTATTTCCCAAGCTGCAACCGACTTCGGCATCTCGGTTGAAAGAAATCGCTACAAGCGAGTTGGTCCCAACCATGGACGGCAGCGACAGCATGGGAAGCAGACAAACTTGCGTCTGAAGCACACCTTCGACATCAATCAAGCCTGCCAATCCAAAAAAATTGATGGCCTCATCGTGAGCCTACCGGATGCAAGCATGATGAGTAGTTTGGTAGGATGCAAGTCTCGGGGAATTCCATATCTGGCGCTTAATGCGTTGGCGGACACTAACCAGAACCAAGACATCGTTGAGAAATTATCTCCCACAAGGCCTTCAGTTCCCTACGTAGGCCAGAAAGACTTCGAAAGTGGCTTCGAAGCAGGAAAAAGGTTGATCGAGGCCGGTGTAGTACAGGGTTGGTGTCTGATGCATGACAATTTTGACACGTTAAATGATCGATGCGATGGAATGAAGGAAGCGTTCCTTGAAAACGAAAAAACGGAGTTCATGGGAATCATATATGTACCAAACAATAACGATGCGTTGACATACAAAACTTTGGTGGAAACAGCATTTAATCAGGACGGCAGAGGAGACGACTGGAGTGGGTATGGTATCCTATCTACGGGACGAGAACAAATCCCTTCCCTTCTTTCACTATTGGAGGACCACCCAAAGATCCTTGCCGGGACATACGATGTTGAGTCTACTCTCTATAAAGAAAACAACGATAGTGCTCTAAGAGATCAGATTATCTTCGGAATCGATCAAAATGCTTACATGGAAGGTTATCTCTCAGTTGCCACGATGGTGTGGAAGACAAGTACTTCGGAGACGCACACAATTCCCATCTTAGAGACTGGTCCGAATTTTGTTTCACAAACCGATTCATCTTCTTCCCAAGTGATCGAGAAAGAAGAGCATTGGCACCAACAATGCCGGGACAATGGATTCCGATTTTGCGAATCCAGAAAGAGTGAACCTCCGCCCATCGAGGAACGACCTCTCACATTCACTGGCAAATGTAGTCAACTCGATCGAAAGTGCGGCGTCTGTGAGGGCGACTGCGATGACGATACACACTGCGGGGAAGGTCTTGTTTGTTTTGTGCGAGACTCTCTAACAAGTGGTGTCTCCGACCCAGTACCGGGATGCTCTGGAAATCCCATTGAATGGAGTGCGAAGGATTTTTGCGTGGACGCTCGGCTCTACGAATGCAAAGATGTCGATGTGTTCGAGGTACGAGTGGGGAATTTTTCCGTCCAACGGACGTGCTCCTTTGTGGAATTGGACAAGCGACGGTGCTCGGAATACGGGAGGCTTTGCCGAGCCACATGCGGGTATTGCCGTAAAGAAGCACGCGAAGACGACACAACCGCATACTGAAGCGATTAACAGACCAACAAATTGAATTGTATCATCAATAAACTGTAATATAGATTAAAAAGCTTCCAAGAGTTCCATAACCCAGTCATGTGGAGAACTTAACAAGGTGGTCAACAATGATCTACGAAGTGACAATTTTTGCGTCATTCTGGGCTACTGCACTTGTTCTGACTAAGAATTCATCGTTATGAAATTCTATCATTTACCAACTCATTCTGGTATTCAATTACGAGCTTCGAAATTGTTAAATTTGAGCCATGAATAATTAATATAGAAAAGAAGAACCAATAGCTAAGATGGAGGATCTTTCTACTATCACAAAAATAAAACAAACACACTGACTACTCCATTGGACCTTGCAGCAAGAGCAGGAAGAAGTCTTCTTGTGACAGTTCTTCTTTGTTGGCATGTGTACTACTACCACTAACTACTAATAAAGTACTATTGGTAGTAGTAGCTAGTAGAACACTACCAAGAGTACTCTCAACAATTGGCTATGGTCCACTGCACCAACACTGTTGACATGCGCAAAGAACAAAATAAGAATCTCCTAAGATGATGAGAACACCACAACTGGAATTGAATCTTCTAGGGGTAAAGAAGCAAAATATTATGAAGACTCCTTGTAGGCCTCACCAGTAGCCTTCTTGATTAAAAACAAATTATTATTCATTTCTGAACATAGGAGAATTTCATTCAAAGTTGTTACTACTAAAGGGAACCCCATTTCCAAGACTTTGCTACTAGTACTACTATTCAGCCGTCATCATTGTCATTATTTTTGAGATGAACAACAAGAACTCATTCCAAATACTCAAAATAAATCAGTCATATAAAGAAGATAGGCAACAGTCATTCCAGAATCATAAAAGAGAACTCATTCCTAGTACTAGTAAGGTTGCTGGAATTATCAGAGGTAATCATGTTTGGAAAACTCAATCCTAGTAACAAGACTTAAATCCAGTCATTTTTTCATGAAGGGTCATTCAGAGATTGATGAGAAACCCATTTCCTAAAGACTCCTCTGTAAATTCAACAGTGGTCCTCACAACACTAGTACTAGGAGCAGTAGTCCTAACAAGAGTGACTGGCCATTTCAAGATTGAACTAGAGATTCCAGCACTAATATTTCTTGTGAGAAGAAGGAACCTGCTATTCCTACAATGACTTCATGAGCTCAGTCACCTGACATCAAGTTGTCAAGTTAGAAGTGGAAGAAACAAGACTAGACAAAAGATCACCAGGGTGGTTGCATAATATTTACAATGGTGAATGTGCCAATGCTGGCATTACAAATATAACAAACAGGACAAGCATTAGAGTTACAAAAAGGATATGAAAACAAGCTACTGATGTGATTCTTGCTGTTATCCCCCTTCTTACTGGTATTAATGCTGAGCCAAAATAATGATGGCAGTCAACTAAATAAAGCAGTGGACAAGAATGACAACTGCAAAAAAAGAAGGCCGCTGCAAATTAATCTAATATTGTGTGAAAGGAAATGGTATGACTCCTGGCGAGATGAAGTCATTTAATTGTTAGGAAGATGAAGACTTTTTGGTCAATACAAACAATCAATTTGCACATTTTTCTTTCAATGCAACTCAAGCACAGCAGATGCAAAGATTTGATAGTGGTTTTTACATTACTAGTAGTACTATTACTAGTATACTATATACAACATGTCATATTTCAAAGCCAATCATCAAAGACCAAAACACCACAACAACAACAACAACAACTACTACTACTACTAGTAGTAGTGTTAGTACAGTATACAAAGACAGAAAAACACATTCTGAAGGAGCTTCAGAAAATGCAGATAGTGAATACACGACAGTTGCAATGTGCGTACTTCTTTGTTGATGGGAGCTGTCACTCTGAGCACTAGGACATAATTTTTTTCTAGCACTATTGCTTTTAAGGCAAGACAAGCCAGTACTACCTACTTGAACACAATGAGTCAGCATGCTCCCATTACCTGAATGAATTTGACCATGTTGGACTTGATTGGCAATTTAAGGAAAGATAGTAGTAAACAATCTGGATTTAGTTTTAAATTGTAACAAAAGAGAAGTACTACAAGAAAAATTGCATTTCTGAAATGTCATGCAATGTTTCAAGAAAATGCCTTTGCAGCCAGATAACAAAAGGTGGTGGATTAGTAAAGAAAGATGCAACTCCTTACCGTAACAATATCACATACAATTTCTTACCTTTAAAAACCTTACTGCTGGTTGGTTTAAAAATTTTCAATTAGCAAGGGCCTGAATGCATCTCAGCAATTGGTGGTGTCTATTAGTGGCGTGATGGATGATTTAGTTGATGAAAGAAGTGATTACCACTTTGTGAGAAAAAAAAATGCCAAAACAGCAGTGCTCACTCTCTCTGTTCAATTTGAGAATGCAAAAAATGATGTCCAATCAGATGGAAAATATGTACTTAAATTCTGAGAAGTTTCAAGGACTGGCTGGAAAATCCACTATCATCCAAAACTTCTGAAACAAGAAAATGCTCATCATGATTGATACCATTCTTGGCTGGTACCAGTCTAATGAATGCCTGGAGGTTGAAAGATCCTCTCCTAGTAGAACACATACTTGTTTTGACTAGAGATCATGACTACTAGTAGTAGCAATGATGAAAGTGTTGGTCATATCAGTTTCTCCTTTGATGAGCAGCATGAACATGATATATCAGTATCTCCTATGATGAACATGGATATGATAGCGATATGATAGCACTACTAGTAGAGGATGATCCAGTTCAGATTCAGTTGATGGACAGATACAGTAGTAGAAAAAAGAAGAAGCTCAAAATTGGCACTTCAGCATTAGTAGTCACATAGTAGTAGTACTATCAAGGTTCACACAAATATGGAAGATTACTTGTACTAGTACTAGTACACTTGTACTAGTACACTAGTACTAGTACTAGTAGTAATAGTAATAGTGAAACCACCAAAGTTCCAAACCCAGATTCAAGTGCAATTACTACACTTCAAAAAGCAGGTTTTGTAGGCATGAGCAGTGGTTCATCTGCAGATAACAGTCAAAATCTCACCCAGCAAAATATGAAACAGAACATTCTACCACCATTTAGTACTGGTGTTTTCATGATGAATCAAATTTTCTATAAAAGTTTTGATGCTCTCCTCATCACGCAAAGAGACCAATCATGATGATGAAGAAAGAACTACCAGCAAAAACTTAAACACAAACTGCTGGAAGAAGTCTGTTAAAAATGCAATGTAAAGAAATTGCATTTTCAAATTGACAAGGACCACAGAGAAAATGCATTTTTCAACTTAGAACTTGATGGTTACAATGCAAAATAGAAGTAAAAGTAAGCATCAATAGCAAACCACTTATACAAAACGTTATGCCTTGACTGTGAATCGAACACAGGACCTTCAGATCTTCAGTCTGACGCTCTCCCAACTGAGCTATCAAGGCGTTGACTCGCTGTGTTTGAAGGCCATAATCCAATTTTAATATGCTTAGAAAATAATAGAAGATTTTAGATTTTTTATTTTTATTTCCTTATCACGAATGTAAATCGCCGATGGCCCATTCTGGATTCATTTCTGTACGTAGGGTAATAGCGATCTGTAAGCGTCACTAACGTAAGGTACCCAGAAAATCATAATACAACATAAATCCATTCAACGATGAGCAATAGCAATAGAACTGCCGCCGTTACGGCACAAACTTTTTGGGATGTGGCATCTCCATTGATCGCTGTGACCGAAAAACATCCATTTTTGGTCTCCATGGTCGATGGGACTTTGGCAGAAGAAAACTTCAAATACTACGTGGTCCAGGATGCTTTGTACTTGAAAGACTTTGCCGATTGTTTGCGCCGAGTGGCCGACAAAGCACCGTCTCCTGCAGATTCGGCCCGCCTTGTGAATTTTGCCAAGGGCGCTGAGGAATGCGAGATGGAGTTGCATAATTCCTTCTTCAAGCAGTGGAACATCTCGTCTCCCGGCGGTACCGGCGAGGGAGCAGAAGATGAAGCCCAACAAATGCCGAATTGTCTCCTCTACACATCATATATGAAAAGGGTTGTAGCCACAGAATCGTATGCCCAGGGATTGGCGGTACTCTTACCCTGTTTCTGGGTGTATATGCACGTCGGTCACGTCATGCTCAAACTCCGAAAGGATTTGGCCAACTCTGTCAATAGAAAACCTCAATACGATGCCTGGATCGACATGTACGCCGGAGAAGATTTCGAAAAGGAAGTGAAAGACTTTATTGCCATGGTCAATGCMGAGTGCCAGAGAATTCAAGAGAAAGGACTGGATGCTGATGAGGATACCGCTGAAGGTAGCTCTGCTGCAGATGCATTCAAGCGTATGCAACACCATTTTTCGATGGGATGCAAGCTCGAACACATGTTTTGGGACCAAGCATCGACTATGATGCAGTGGCCAAAAATTAGTGGTATGTAATTCAATAAATTTAATAGTGACGAGATAGTTTTGCCTTCAGGTAAAGAAAAGAATGTGTGAATTTATATCCAAGTGCGAGCTATTAACGGGTACATCAATCATTTGAATCTTGGATCTTGTTCAATACATGATTATAACATATGAAAGATATGGTTTATTATTCATCTTATTTCAATCGAAATTTGTAGCTTTCCATTTCTGTTTTACAAATACTTGTCTCGTAACAGTACAAGTGGCAACAGACAACTTTTTGTTTGTAAAAAATTCTTCTCCTAGTACAGTAATTTTCAGTAGCTGTAGATATGTGTGTGCACTAAACTACTACGAAGTACTACCAATTGAATAAAGAGGCTGTTGCATCAAGAATGCTATTGTACCTAAGAAAACCATTCATCACTAGTAGCTACTTGTTGTAGAGTACCAGTACTAGTCAAAACTGAACAAAATGCATCAATATCACCATCCAAGAAACGACAGCGTATTGATTGCCTGTGCTCTCTGGAGAAAAGGAGTCTATTTTTGGTTGTTAGATGGCATTCGAGGGTTTTTCAATGAAGACCTCAAGAAGAACTTCGTCGTATGCCACCTGTATCACTCATGCCTAAAAAATGCCATTGGAGACCGCCCAACGTCCTTCGAATTCAAAAATCGTGAAACATGAAATATTTAACATGAGGTTCACTTGCAACCGAAACAATGTGCGAGTTTCTTCTCTTGCGGTTGATTCTTGAACGCTGTTGTAAACATATTAATCAATGAGGTGAACTAGACATGGTCAATAGATCTTTTGCCTGATCCAGCATCCGCTCAACCATCGACATCTTACAATGACCATAGTGTTCAAGTTCCGTCAACTTCGAATCGTACGCACAACCTTATCTTGATGGTGAGCATGGACATTCGATACTACAAAATACAAATTGTGGTTAAAACTGTGTTATTTCGATTGTACGTTCATTGAAGACATTGCTTTATATTGGAAATTGAGATGTTGTGATGCTGCACAACACGTATGATGTGTTGGATTAGTTTATGCGGCAATGACCTCTCCGGTGGAAGGCTTCAGAAGCTCGCACTTGCCTCCGGCGCCTTCGATGGCGGCACGAGCCGATTTGGTGAAGGCATGAGCCTGAACAGTGATGTCCTTGGCAGTGAATTCTTCACGTCCGACAACAACCTTGTGAGTGGAGTGCTTGGACTTGGTGACGGCTTTGGATTCGAAAAGGGATTCAAAGTTGCATGTAGATCCAGGGGCAACTCCATTGAGTGCATCCAGTTGGATCAAATTGTATTCTTTCTTGGTGTGACCGGGTCCCATAGGTCGTCCAGTGAACTTGGGCAACCGACGGTAAAGAGGTTGTTGTCCTCCCTCGAATCCCGGTCGGGTAGGTCTTCCGGATCGGGACTTTTGTCCACGCATTCCGAAACCGCAGGTGGCTCCTTGTCCGGCGGAGATACCACGTCCCTTGCGTGTCTTCTTCTTGCGGGATCCAGGGGCGGGGCGGAGGGAATCCAAAGTGAATTCATAGTTCTCGACGTCGTTGATGTCCGACTCGTCGGCCGTGCGTCGCTTCCAGTCGTGTAGCTTCATGGAAAGCGTGTTGGCGCTCGAGGTGGAAACTGCCGCGAGGCGAGTTCCAGTGAACGAAGAGAAAGCATCTGTATTTCGTTTGTTTAAGACACGAGAGCGAGGCGAAAGAAAAGACAGAAGAAAGTTTTTGTGAGAAATGAAGAAAATGAAATGAAGCTAGCTGTAGACACAGGCTGCAGTGATTCAGGTTACAACGGAGCTGAACGATCGATGGGATGTGTATGCGTGTGCTAAGAGCGTCACTTCAAGCTTGATCTAAGAGTTGGCGGTCGCGTTCTAGAAGGATGAGGATCGATTGTGGAGTGGACGGGAATGGACTGACATCCCGTACAGATACCAAGCAGGGCAGCAGGTGATCTTTGGCTACATTCTCCATCACCGACGAGGCGACGATAGCTGATCGGTGAAATAATATTTGGATGGCTCCGCTTTGTCTGTCGACCAAAATTTCGACTCGGTCGCCAGAAGAAACAAGTCACTTGTTGCGTGTTTGTTTCAAACTCCACTCGAAACTACGTGCCTCCGGACTCAAGCCTCCAAACTCTTTGTCTCTACGATGCACCGCAATATTTACAGGGCGAGTACCTATTGGTAGCGCTAATGATTCATTTAGTATCCCAAAAGTGTTTCGAACGCATCACTCAAACCACCCATCTCCTCATTTCAACGTTCGTGTTCCCTAAAATCACCACCGAAGTACCTCCTGCGTTATCCATATAGTTCGTCATTCATTCACCAATATGCTCTATCGTACCTGTGGATGCAACTCCAGCGAGTAGGATAAGTCCGGCTACCTTCATCGTATACAGTATATTATTCTTTCTTTCGTATTTTTAATCGGTGTAGATAGTGGGTTTAAAGCGTTGCATGAAGGAAGAGTTCAAGCAGAAACAAACGGTTCTCATCCAGTTTTCTCGTTGATGGATGATGTACTCGTACTGAACACAACGATGATGTGTTGATGTGTTGTTCCACCGCAACTTCCAGCAGTCATCACCGCAGGTAGAAAACTGCTCACCCTCTGTCCGCCTTTCATTTGTGCTAACAAAATTTCGTGATGCGAGACGAGGTCGTGATGACGCACTTGCATTCTATTCTTTTGTACCCTACGACGGACATACCTCTCCTTCACTCGACGTAAGTCCAAAAATTTAGTCAATCTAGTCGAATACTACAAGACTGATCAAACCAAGAACAATTTCAACGACATAAGCCCAAATGCAAGAGTCATACCAAATGACCAAAAACAATAAATGCAACATTCCGTACGGTACGGTCCGTCGTACCGGTTCGTAAAATCTTTGAGACTTTGGCTTCATCGAGTTGATGCCGAGAAGTCGTTCTGTACAACGCAGAAAGGAACAGACGAGACCTCTTTCTTCAGAGTCTTCATTAGCAATTGAAAGACAACCCGCCAACTGTTTAATTTATGCAAGGAAAACTGAGAATAGAGAGGTAGAGAGAACGAAAAAAAATCGCAAGGAATCCAACACTACCACTCGATATATTGCTTCCGTAGTACAGTACCATGAATCCGTATCGCCTGCCTTTGATTGTCAAAGCACTGTTGGGTGCATCCTTCATGGTAGCCAATGTTCGCGCCCTAGCATCGTGCACGACATGTGCCCTCGGCAATGACTTGATAACAGACGCCAATCCCTGTAACAACTTGGAAGATAACGTCAATGGCCTGTTCAATACCGACTTGGACTGCAAGAACGCCCAATTGGAGCACTACCAAAAAGGCTGCTGTCCGTTGCCCCCCCTCGAAGATCACTGTGGCTACTGCGCAGACGGTTTCTCAACTCCTAATATGGAACTCATGGTCCCGACGGGACAAATCGTTGGTGGCTACGCCTGCTTTGATTATTATTATCAGCCCCAATCCCGGATCGGCATGTTCACCGACGGGGACTGTTCGGACACCTTTCTGCAGCGGGCCGGTTTCTACTGCGGATGTCCCAACCAGGAGCAGGAATGCTGGTTGTGTCCCGATGGGCAACCCCCTTCGAAGCCGGCGAAGGGCGACGCATGGGTAACCAAGGCAACCTGCCGTGGCATCGAATACCTCTTTTCCCTCTTCAAGGAAGACGAGTGCGCTGCATTCCCCTACGAGGCCGGCGCCGATCTCGCCATATTTTGCGGGTGCGGCGGCTTGAACCAAACGGAAATCGATGCGCAGGCCGAGATCTACCAGTGCAATCTCTGCGAGAATGGAGGGGTTGTCACCAACCCCGACTTCCCCTACTCAACGGAAGGGGATTTCGTCAAGACGTGTGCCCAGGCGGAAGAATTTGCCAGGGAAATCATCAAGACACCCTCGGGCTGCCGCAATCCTAGGCACTTTGGAGAGGCTCGGCAAAAATGCACGTGCTCAGAACCTCTGTTTGATACTTCGCCAGGTGCACCATCCTTGATGGTCTCGTGGACGCCGTTGCTGCTCCAATTGCTGATTGGGATGGTGGTGATCGCACATCCTTAACAAATTTTGTCATCATCGCTGGAGACGACACAATCGATGGCGACATTGATGGCCTTGTTCGTGGGGAGGGGAAAGGAATCTTTCGGATCMACTTCAACAGTCGCAATGCATACACCAGGCGATGTAGTGCTATAACTTTCTGCGACGACGATCAAATTTCACAAGAAGCGATGCCGATGGATGGATATTGATTCGATTAGAAAGAAACCCACATTTTATGTCTCGTTTTACAGACTATATCTGAGATTCTATTTCTCTGCATTGGCATTCACCTTTCTCTATATCGAGGGAAAAAAGAATTGTACACAATTGCCTTGGCTTTGCCTACTCGTATATGTGGTGTATTAAGATGCTGTTTAGAACAAAGCACAGAAAGCACTAAAATTGTATCATTTGTTTCCCCGCTGCACGCAAGAGCTATTGCAGAACGTACCAGTCTACAAACAAATGATAATCCTAGTAATAAGTAATAATCTGTCCAGGAACTACCAGCTCCACGCAAACAAATTTCCATGCTAGTCTCATTGCATTTTTAATAGTACGTTACGATTATCCTTTTTTGCGACTCGATGTACAAAACCTGTTCGTGGTTTCGACTTTCTTTCGTTTCATCAACAAATAAAGCACTAGAGCAAAGAAACAAGCAGCGAATCATGGAACAAGCAAGCATGGCGAGAACTCCGACAACAGCAAGGCGCCTTCTGAGGGTCGCAAACAATGGGAAGGTCAATACTACTACTAGTAGTAGTAGGGACCTATCTACGAGCCGTGATCAAACAAGCGCAATGCAAGAGATACCATTCAACTCTTCATGAGCAGATGGACCAACTACTAGAGATCACCAAGTCTCCTAGTAGAACAATCTTAGTATCACTTCCGACGACGGCCTTGACCATTGACCATTGACTAGTACTACTAGTACTACTACTAGTACTACTAGTAAAATCAGATCATGGTATCCAGTAGAACTCGTACTAGTACTCGTAATACTACCACAAGCAACATGATCCACAACAACAACAAATTCTTCTTCTTTTAAAAGAAAATTCTGACGACCTCACTACTACAACTGCATTGCTAGTATACTAGTACTAGTACTAGTACTAGTACTAATAGTAGCAGCACTAGCCAATGAGGACAAAAGGATCCATCTCTTGTTTACTAGTACAAGAAGGTCATGTCTAGTTGGCAAATGAAATGCAGTGTGGATGCTGATGTTTTTGCTGTTGGAATCCTACTCGGAGTGCTTTCTTTGCAAGTGGCCGTCCATTTTTCCCTTTGTTCTTATCCTGCCCGGGTGGTATTTTCGTTGTCGATGTTGAAGGCACGACGCATTTCCAATAAGTAAAAAAATGAACACATTTTGAATTTTACTCGAGAGTTTTTGGTTGGGGTTGTTTCCCTTTAAAATCACGATGCACGATCAAAAGTCGGCATCGAGTTTCTGCATTTTCGCGTACGAGTACGAGTACGATTATCGCTACCGCAGTTAAACTACTAGACCAAAACAAAAAAATCAAAATATACTACTAGTAGTACCGGTACGAGTACTCAGAAATTGAAGCCATCGCGGTTCGTGAATTTTATTTTCCTACCCGTTCCGTGCCTGGGCGAAAAAAGGAGTCCGAATGAATCATGATCCTCACCAATTACAGTTGATCCTTTGTTTCTCTCAACGTATCTTCTCTCATAAACTAAGAGTTGAATACAAACAAAAGACAACAGACAACAACACTACAAAACAGACGGAAATTGCCAAACAACACATTGCAACCMTTCCCTAGAGCAACATGGACAACAAAAACACTAACGATGCCGACACCGATCACAAAATAATGATGGAATCCACTTCCACCGCCAATATTGAAAGCGCAAGTAGTTCCGCGGAAGCACATCCGAGCGAGCCAGTGGCTACGAGCAACGGCATTGTCACGAAGAGCAACGACGATACCCACAATACAATACGGAGCGGCGACGAAAACGACGACGACGAAGTCCTACAGGAGGAAGACGACGAGGAACAAAACGACACTGTTCCCACTTCACGCGCATCCTGCTACAAGAAAACCGCCGTTGGCCTTGTTCTTCTCGGACTCATCATCTTCGTCATTGCCGATTCGCTAACGAACCAGCACATCAAGACGGGTCTGCTCGCCTTTTTGGAATGGATCGAGGACCACCTGGTGGTGGGCGTCCTGAGTTTTGTGCTGGTGTACTTTCTGGCCACGGTGTTCTTTATCCCGGGCAGCATTCTGACGCTCGGTGCCGGCTTTGTCTTCTCGTCCGCGATGGACTCGTTGTGGATTGGGGTCTTGCTGGGAACCGCTGCCGTCTTTGTGGGAGCCTCTCTGGGTGCAATCGTGGCCTTTTTGCTCGGACGGTATCTCTTTCGGGAAGCGGTGGCGGTCAAGCTGACGCAAAAATACAAGATCTTCGAGGCCATCGACCGGGCCCTCGAACAGAACGGACTAAAAATCATGGTGTTGCTGAGGCTGTCTCCGATTTTCCCCTTCAATGCCCTCAACTACAGCATGGGCATCACGGCCATCCGATTCTGGGACTACGTTCTGGCCTGCCTGGGGATGCTCCCCGGAACGATCGTCTATGTGTTTCTGGGGGCCTCGGCCGGTAGCCTGGCGGAACTCGGGGGCGACGAAGACGAAACCGAGGAAGACGACGACAACAAGACGGTCACCATAGTGGTGATCGTTGTCGGGGTGGTCTTTGGGTTTTTGGCCGTCGGTCTGACTTCGTATTATGCCAAGCAAGAACTCAACAAGGTGCTGGAGGAAGAGGCGGAACAGAACGACGAAAGCAACAACGGCGTCGACGAGAACGCGGAGGAAGAGATCAGTGTCTGATGCGATGCTACCGATGCCACTCTCGAACCTTCGTACATACCTATACTATACTAATATACTGTAATCCTAATCCTGCGATGATAATCTGTGTTATGGATTTTCTTCTCCTAATTTTCTGGAGTACGAGTTTGCGCGTTAAGGCGGCAATTTCCAGGCTGTGCCGAGTTCCCCGTGTGCACCTTCTAGGACATTGCCAGTGTCAAACTACGGTTTCCAGCTCTTGCCCCGCAACCGTTCTTTCTGTTCTGTCGAAGTGGGAGACACTCTTGCTGTTTTTGTGATTGTGTTGGTCAGAAAGGACGCTTGTTGTAATTGTTGCTGTTGTTGTTGTTGCTGTTGTTTTTGTTGCTGCTGTTGTTTTTGTTTTTGTTGCTGCTGCTGCTGTTGTGGCTCCCGTGGTTGCCTTCGTCGCGTTGCACCCGCTTGGTTCTTGGTGGTTCTCGGCGGTGGCTCGTGCGAATCCCGAGACCGGCGCCTCCGGGGAATGGAGGGCGGGGTGACCGAGGGATGGTGAAGGTTCGTGTTCGTGTTTGTGTTCGAGTTCGTGTTTGTGTTCGTGTTCGTGTTCGAGTTCGAGTTCTGGTTCCTGGTTTCCCCCGGGCCCGCAAGGGGGCAAGGGTGGCGGTTCCTCCGGTCCCGGAAGGACCCCTGGGGATCGCTCGGGGCCTCCCCCCCTTCGGCCGGCGGGGAGAGGGGCCGCTCGAAGGAAAAGAGCGGCGGCGGGGGAGGGTAGTCCACCGGGCGGGACGGCCCGTGGGATGGTCTTGTGTTCTCGGGGGACGAGACCGAGACCGACTGCGAGACCGAGAGAGACGACGACGAGGCCTCCCACCGCGAGCTCTCGGTGGGCAGGAGGGGCTCGCCCGCAATGGGTGGTGTGGGCGGTGTGGTTCGTGCTGGTGGTGGTGGTGGAATTCGTGCGGCCCTTGCTTTGCGTGTTTTGTGGCGGGCAAGAGGCCGGACGCCTTCCGCGGGCCTCCGCCTCTGGTTCAACAGGGCACCGAAACGGCCTTCGGTTCCGGCCGGGCGTTCGTGGGCACCCGCTCCGCCGCATGCGGTTTCTTGGGCCGGAGAGCGGTGCTCGTGGGCCTCTCCGGAAGCGCTTCCACTCGTTCTCGGGCGCCCGGCCTCCCATTCGGTGGCGTCTTCGAGGTCGTCGTCGAACGAGTGGAAGACCCGGCCCCTCCCGGCCCCGCTGTCTCTGCCGTTGGTGCTTCCGCCGTGGCTTCCATCGGCGGTGCTGTTCAACGCCCAAAGGGCGTCCCGGATGATGAGCAGGGCCGAGGAATCCCGGTCGTTGAAGCCGTCCTGGGAGAGTTTCCGCACCGGTTTCAGCCCCCCTTCCGAATCGGAACCGGGGGCTTGGGTTTCCCACCGGGAGCAGACCACGGAGGCGTGCTGTTGCTGTTGCAGTTGCCCACTGCGGCTGCCGCTTTTCTTCTTGGTGGCGTGCTCGGGGTGGTGGAAGCACACCGCCGGTGTCGTGGAAGAGGTAAAGAAGGAAACGCAAGAGCCGCTGGTGCTGTCCCCGCTGTAGTCGGAACGAAAGCTGCTTCCGCTGCTCAGCGTGCTGATGGTTCGGTGGCTCCGGTTTCTGTCCCGGAGGCGTCGGTTGCTGTTGTGCGAGCGCGGGGGCTGTCTTGCCCGTTCGCTCGCGAAACACCGGCCCGTGCTCCTGCCGTGGTTGTGGTTCGTGCTGGTATTGGTAGTCATCTTGGAGGGTGTCCAGCGCGTGGTGCTGTTCGAGTTTGTCTTCGAGTGTGTCTTCGAGTGTGTCTTGAGGTGTGTATTCTGTTCAGGTATGTCTCGAGTTGTGTCTCAAGGTTTGTCTCAAGGCGTATCTATTGGCGACATTGGTCAACAAACACTCTTTCATTGCAAAACCGAAATTTTGTTGCAGGTCCGTTGTGGCAAACCCGAGGTATGTGCCTATCTAGGAATTTGGAGCGAGGCACTGCGACGGTTACTCGGATAACAACCAAATAAATAAGCGGGTATCCCTGCTATCGCTGCGAAAGCATTCGAGAGGCATGCACATGCACGGCGGCGAACGAATTGCGATTGGAAAAACAGCGCCCGTTCCGTTCCGTTGCCTTACCCGGCAAGAACGGGCACTAGGCACCGAAGCGTTTCTTGGAACAAGTTCCGGTAACTGTTACCCAAATAATTTTCCCGAGTTTTGGTATCCTCCCTAAATCCCAGTGGAATTTAACGCTGGAAAAATCGTCACGAATTCCAAAATCTGGATTATTGCGTGGCGTTGTGTGGTGTTTGAATTGGTGCGGTGTGAGGGCAATTGATGCATGGATAAAAAATATAAATGGCACTCGATCGTTCTTGTAAACGCGAAGTATATGATCTGCTTTGAAGCACCAGTACCGTTTTCCTTTAAAAACAATGTGAACCGAGAATCTTTTAGGGTGATGACGGTTGAAAAAGAAAAGATTGTCACGACACTAATAAATAACGAATGAATTATTCAAGCGTTACTTATCAGGCAAACCGAAACCCCAATATCTTTCCACTTGAGGTGGTTCCTTGCGGAACACGCTTTGGTGACGCGACGAGGCGCCATCTATCGGATCGGATACAGTCCCGTATCGAACCGTTCGCCACGAACCGAGGAACTCGCAAAAAACCGGTTGCACCGCACGCGCTAGCTGCCACTGACTGCGCTGCTACGGTATGCTTTTTGTTTTTTTCACCACCACCCGATGGAACGCGTCTTGCGTTGCGTTGCGTCTTTCCCACCCCGGTTGTGTTGCTGCGCAATAAATGGACCCCAAAGTGAATCCGGCCCCGAACACCAAAAAACAATGGGTTTAAGGTTTCCACCCGATTCCTAATTTACGCATACACGACTCAACCGCTGTTTGTTCGTCGATAGTACAATTCCTCGGAATTCTCACACTGAATGCCAAAGAACACAGAAAAAAATACTTAGGGTTTCCACCGTTTTCTTCCTTTCTTCGCATTCTTTGCTTCCACGCCATGCCAGGTACGTACGTCGCGTAACCATTGATGATGTACTGTACGTACGGTCAGGGGTCATAAATTTAGAGGGGTGCGCATCGATTTTCCATGGCTAAGATTTTGCAGCAACGAAAAATCAAAAATCATATTCCATCCTCGGTCCCAAAATTAAAAAATCAGCTCCAGGAATTTTTATAATTCTAATTTTTACTGCATAATACTAGTAAAACTATCCAACTTTTAAGTAGTCAT